GCGCCACGAACACACCTGCACATGAACACACAACACACGCACACACACAAGAAAGAACATACCTATCCCAGGCATATCAATTATGCCCATGTATCATGACGGCTCAGCAAGACACCCAGGAAATATCCGGGTTACGGAAGGAGTTTAGATGCTAGAACCCTCGAAACGGCGTTATGAAGCCAGGCGGCGGTCGTGTTTATTGACGTTTTTCACGACATCGGTTTCTGGTTCCTGGCGGGGGGTGGACAAGGTGTCGAGGGAGTTGCAGGCTTTATCGAAGGCCCAGATGAACCGCCAGCCATTTACTGTTGGGGTCTGGTTCTGGTTTTGAGGGGTCTACGGCTGGGCCTCGTCCGGCCCCATCACTGCATTTTGTTGTTCTTTTCATCGTTCGTCATTTCACAGCATATACCCCGGCGCGCGGTGCGGCGCCACATGTTTGTACAGCGCTGGCTACTACAGTACCTGGCCACCCCTATTCTTACTACCTCGGTCGGCGGTGGTGCGTTCGCTGCCACCGTTGCCTCACTTTAATGAACAAAGTGCCTCTGAGCGATGCAATAAGGACTGCCATGGTGACTCAAATGTGCTGCCCCAGCCGGGGGACTCTTGACAGTGAACCAGTTGGGGTATTTGTGCCGTTGTTTGCCGTGTCTACTTCCCTGAGGGGTTGGTTGGGTTGGGTGGTGTCGCTCTAGCCCCGCCAAGTCAGAAAGTGCTGGGTCAGTCGTCGAACTTTGACTGAACGGGCAGGTAGTTTGCGCCTTGTCTAGGGATCACTGGTGTTGTGCCGTGATGAATGTAGTCTAGGAAGAGGGTGGCAACAGCAGCACCTGCAGCCGCTTCGTCCTCGCCGTGCCGACTCGAACTGTCTCCAAGTCTGCATTTGCATTCAGGCTGGCTCGTCAGGGCAAGACGAGCATTCCTTGACTGCGCATTGAGGTCCCCAGAGGTCGGCTGCCGGTCGTTCTGACATGGCTGGACGAGCGTCAGCTAGGAGCCAGGCATGCGTCTCTGCTGTCCATAGGATAGGCCACTTTCGGCGCGCGTCCTTCCAGCGAGGAGTGCGCGTTCGTCTTGCCGACACGGCAGCACTGGCCCTGCGCACCCGAGAGTGAGGGCTCGACCGCAGGCGTGTTTCTTTCTCGATGGCCCGCTTCTTTTTGGGGGGGGGGAAGAAAATATACACAGCACGAGACAGACAGCGGCGTCGTGACGCGAGAAGCGATCCCGCAGAGCGATTTCAAGGTTTACTTTGTTTCGAAAATCGAGGTAGCTTTCCTACACATGGAGTCTAAGTCCCCCTGAACGCCGAACCCAAACAGCACACGAACGCCGCCATTTCTTTTTTTCTTTCCTTTCTTTCGCGGGGAGGTCGGGGCCGCGCGACGTCTCTCTCGCTGTCTCTCTCTCTCTCACTCTCTTGCCTGTCGGTTGACCTAGCGGTAATGACGGTTCGCGGCCATGGCCCTCTTCCTTCGTTGCTTGCCTCGAAGTCTTTCAGCAGAATGCGTTTCCTCGACCAGCAACCCCCCCACGGCAGCAGCACGGCCGCAGCACGACGCAGCACAACGCAGCACAACGCAGCCAGCCTACGTGCAGTACCTGTAGCTGGCATAGCGCCCCGCCGTCTCGGAGTTGCGGATAATCTTGACGACGTTGCCCCTCTTGAGGCCGAGGTAGCGGGCGACGGGGTCCTCGCGCTTGATGCGCGGCAGCTGGGTCTCCTTGAGGCGGTAGCGCTTGAGCAGGGCGGCCTTTTCGTCGGTGGACAGGAGGATGTGCTTGGGGACGAGCTCGTGGTGGGTAATGTTGACGAGCAGGTCCTCCTCGAGGAAGCACTCGATGCGGGCGAAGCTCTCGAGGGACAGCAGCTGCTTGCGGCCGGCCGAGGTCAGCGGGCTCGAGGTGACCATGATGCCGGCCTTGAAGTGGCCCTCGAGCACGTGCTGGACGAAGCGGCGCAGGTGCTGCACGCCGAGGGAGCCCTGCTCGGCAATGAACTCGATGTAGATGGGGCCGCAGTCGGGGTCCGGGTTGGGGTTGGCGGCGGACGGGGCGGGCGTGTGGCGGCTGAGCATGTCGCTCGAGGGGCGCGCGGAGAAGGTGAGCTTGCTTCGGCTGGGGGGGGGGGGGCAGGCTGCGTGTTAGCTTGTGTGTTTTTCTTGCCCCTTTTCACTTCTCTTCCTTCCTGTGCACGCGAAAGGAAATCGTGGGCGTATGAACGGGGAGGGGAGGGCGTACTTGACGCTGCCGTCGGCGGCGAGGTATTCGTGGCGGAAGCGGTCGAGGGAGATCTGGATTTCTGACTCGGCGAGTTCGTAGCCCTGGAGCATGCCATGTCAGTACCGTCATGCAGGCACATGGAGGTTGCACCGTTGAGAAATCGGGACCGGGGGACCATACTCTATCGGCACACATCTCGTGAACCGTCCTCCAGGCGCGCCAGGCGCGAACCACCTCCTTGCTCTGGCCGTCGTTGCCCTCCATTTTGAGTTGTGCGATTCGAGAGCAAGGAATAAGGAGTTGATCCAGGGAGAAGTCGGGCGCACGAGGGGGAGCTGACAAGTGGTCGTGGTGACGGGAGATGGTAGATGCAGAGAGTGACAAGTTGATTGCTGGTGTCGCAACGTCAAGATTCGCATACAGCCTTGCCCAAAAAAAACCAGGGCCCCGTCGGTCCCTCCATGTTCATGCTCAGAAGAAAGAACAATGACAAAAGCGGGTCGGGGACATGCACGTATCCGATGTTGGTCCGATTATGTAACGTCGTCCTTCTCGATCTCACCGAGCGCACGTGCCCAGCGGTCAAGGAAATCGGTGGGGGTCTGGAAGCTGTCGTGCCCCACCGAAGGGCACGGCGCACAGGCCATGGAGGGGCCTACTCAGGTCAGCCAGTGGGCGCCATCCGGGCAACAGTAGGTACCTACCTAGGCAAGGTAGGTACCAAGGTAGGTACCAAGGTAGGTACCAAGGTAAGTACCTCCCTAGGCCTGGGACCTGGGCCTTAGGCCTAGGACCTGGGCCTTAGGCCTAGGACCTAGGCACAAGCAGCACTAGGCACAAGCACCAGCTCCAGCTCCAGCAAAGTGTCCAGTGCTGCTCAGCGCTCGCAGGAAAAGGAGACAAAAAGGTGCCACGAGGCACTGAGGCACTGAGGCACCGCTACTGCTGCTTGACCTTGGCCCAAAAGGGTGAATTTCATCAAAATCCTGGGGACCCTGGAAATTTATCCTACCACGTCCACGTCCACGTCCACGTCCACCTGGCGAGACAACTTTCTCCTCCTACTTGTGACCTCCTCCTTGTAACCTCCTCCTTCCACATCTCTACCATTATAATCTCTTGTTTTTTCTTACCCTCTCGAGATTTGTGAGACGGTTCGGCCAGCTTGCTTAATTGCACAGACAGCCCACCCCCCCTCACCCCCCCTCCCCTCCCCTTCACAACGTCCCTCTACAATGGCCGACACCAAGAAGACGGCGGCGCCCCCCGCTGCTGAGACCAAGGAGACCACTGGTCGTCCTCAGCTGCCCGATGAGGCCGTGTACCAGAAGAACCTGAAGGCGGCCGAGGCCGACCACAAGCTCTCCATGGACAAGCTCGTACGTGTCTTCTCTCTCGCTCTCTCTCCTCTCTTCCCGAAAAGGACAACCAGGCAGGTAGCTGACAAAAAGTGCGCATGCAGGCCCAGATCAAGTCCAAGATTGACCTCGCCCTGCCCAACAAGGACAAGGAGAAGCAGAGCCCCGCCCAGAAGCGCCGCCAGGAGCTCATCGCGCAGGCCAACGAGATCCGCCAGAAGCAGGGCGCCGGCAAGAACGCCCGCGGCGCCAAGCTCGACCAGATCAAGCGCCTCGACGAGCAGATGCGCAGCCGCATCAACGAGCAGAAGGTCGCCCGCGGCAAGGTGGCCTTCAAGACGGTCGACGAGCTGGACCGCCAGATCGCCCACCTCGACGCCCAGGTCAACGCCGGCACCATGAAGATTGTCGACGAGAAGAAGGCCCTCGCCGAGATCTCGTCGCTCAAGAAGACGCGCAAGAACTTTTCCCAGTTTGAGGACGGCCAGAAGCAGATTGACGACCTCAAGGCCAAGATCAAGGAGATCAAGGACTCGATGGACGACCCCGAGGCCCGCGCCATGAGCGACCAGTACACCAAGATCCAGGCCGAGCTCGACGCCCTCAAGGCCGAGTCGGACGAGGCCTACAAGGGCCTGTCGTCGCTGCGCGACGAGCGCACCAGGCTCCAGGCCGAGCAGCAGGACAAGTTCCAGGTCATCCGCAAGATCAAGGACGACTACTGGCAGCAGAAGAAGGCCGCCCAGGCCTACGAGCGCGAGGCCCGCAACAAGGCCCGCGAGCGCCGCCAGGCCGAGAACGAGCGCTACCACCTCGAGCGCAAAAAGGCCGACGCCGAGCGCCTCCTCGCCGAGGCCAGCGACCCGGCCTACCTCGAGGAGATCCGCCGCGCCCAGGGCCTGCTGCGCTACCTCGACCCCGCCGCCGCCCAGGAGGAGAAGGCGCCCCTGCTCGCCGATCGCGGCCTCGGCGCCCAGGCCGACCGCAAGGTCGACGACGCCGGCATCAAGGGCACCAAGATCCTCAGCAAGAAGGACCGCGAGGAGGACTTCTTCCCCGCCACCAAGAAGGGCAAGAAGGGCAAGAAGGGCGGCGGCGGCGCCGCCGCCCGCCTCCCCCGCCGAGGGCGCCAAGTTCAGCTGCCCCCCTTCCGTCGTCGAGGACTGCGCCGCCCATGGGCATCGACCCCCCATGAGCGCCGCCGGACAATTCCCTCCGTCACCGAGCAGTCAAGGCCAAGCTCGAC